CGTAAGATTTGTTAAATAAAAGGGAACTCTTTAGCTACAATGTATCAATGTTATGTTATAAAACAAATGGTAAACACCACAGCGTACACTATTGAGTTATGGATGCACTTGGGAGGTTTGCTAAGCACTCAAGAAGCTAGAGTCGCTCTCGGCTATCGCCTCGAGCGACTCTTACGCTTCTTTCGTGCTTAGCAACCTCCCGCGTGCATCCATAACTCAATAGTGTACGCTGTGGTGTTTACCATTTGTTAAAAAGGAAAGAAAGAACAGGTGGTAAAAGTGAACTGTAGATTTAAATTTTTCAAAAAGGCATCCACACAAAATCCTCATCCTACATGGAGCTAGCATGGATTTCGATAAAAGTCAAAATTATGTTGTCAAAATAGTTATAAGCTTCAAGACACACTATGATAAGTTATGCGAAATGTTAAAGGTTACAACTTTTTTACTGTCAGACGCCGCTACTCGTCAAATCTGACTCTAGTGTAAAGATGGTCATTTTACTGAACGCCATGGATAGGCATGTGTAAGTTTGAAATGTTGTGTTCGGTGATTCCAGATTATGAACCTGAGTTCAAAATTTTCTGTACAGCAGAAACACTGCTCATTACAATTACGTCCAATGTTGTATCGAATGAGCTCTGCAAGAGTTATAATCGCTACGTTTAGGTATGGCTGAAGATACGATAAGATTCTCAACTTGTACAGATACCGATATGCATAATTTACTAGATAATGAATACACGCGAAAGCTGTTACTTGCGATGTTTCATACGATGAAACTGTTTCAATTTGCACACGATTGGTTATTGAGCAATTTTCGATTATGCTTTTTTGATAGCATACCTGTAGTTAGACATGAGTCATTTTCGCTCATCTATCACGGTTACACTTTGAACATTTGGAGTTGCGTCAAAACTTTTAAAGAAACTCGTTAGCCTACTCTACACAGAAGCCTGCTTTCCAAATTTCGTCCGGATTCGTAACCAGGGAGGAATTCTAAAGCATGACCAAATCAAATGGACTGCAACACTAGAAAGCTTCGCACATCATGTGCTTTTTAAGAACCTATTTAGTATATTTGATAGGATGGAAATTCAACTGGCTCAATGACCAAAGAGGTTTTTTGCGTTAGGGGAGGCAGAGGTTTGTACGGGGAAGAAAAAAATCTTCCAAACTGCGTCGGAGGCTTTCGTTATGTTTTCGAGGGGCAAGGAAGTGCCCTAACGGTGGCTTTAGTTGGGGGGGAGGGGAAAAGTTGTGCCTTCGATATCTTCGAACACTGCACTGTTTGTTTTTTCGCTCCCTAGTGTACCAGGATGATTTCGATAAACCTGTAAGGGTATCTCTAAAAGATGTTTTTTGATTAAACAAACACCTCGTGTCGAAGTGCTAGCTTAGCACTGCTACTAGCTTCAGTTCAATCAAAACAAACAAACAAAAACAACATATCAACTTAAAAGCACGTGTCATAAGGTAGTAAATGATAAATTGGACCTTACTACAGATACCTTCTTGAATGGAATGGGGTGGGTAATATGTGTTGGTGTTGACTCTGTCTTTGATACCATCACAATATGTGCAAGGAAGAATATGGAAGGGATAAAAGAATGTTGTTATCAGAGTTTCTATGATGTTCCAAGAAAGGAACGATATTTCGACTCACTGGGTATCGCTGCTATCTCTAGGTAAGAAATGCACTACTTATATTACCACAGAAACAGTTTTATCTTGTGCAAAAGCAAACTATTAAAACGGTGCCGATTGCTTTCTTTTTCATTTTTTGAAAGTAGTGGCGAATGTGTGAAAACGGAGTGAAGAGCTGTGAAATAAAATTTTAGTTTTGAGTTCAACTCATGTTTTAATTGAGTCTGTAGTATTAGCGTTTTTTGACCGACTTATGACTGCATGACGGACTGTTTACTGATCGATTGGTCAATTCAATGATTGATTGATTAATTGATTGATTGATTGCCTTATCGATTAATTGACTAGTTGATTGATTGATTTATTGACTGATTGATTGGCTAGATTGAATGATTGGTCGATCAGCCTGTAGGGTAGTCAATTGACTACTTGATTGTTGATGGGTTTTGGATATCAAACGTATTTAAATGAAGTACATATATTTGCATCAATGTAACCAGAAGAAAGAGCACTTTCATAGCAGAAATTCAATTATCCTAGAAGAAGAATATGCAAGCATACCTTTGCTTCCTCTTTTCTGTCCTCACTACTTCAGGCCCTTTTGAAGCTAATTACTTCTGAGTAATCCTCCAACACTCTGAGGGGTCTGTTTGACGTAAGACACATGGCAAAACTCAAAATTCCAACAGTCCATCGTCTAAACTCCTTTGACCAACAGTTCAGAGTTTAAATCCGGTCGGCGTTACATTTCGCTGCACTCAGCTCTCTTAGAAACTACACGAGCTTATCCGCTCAGTTCTCGGGTCATTTCTTCAACTTGTTGTACACTTTATACTCTAAAAATGAAGTAAATGCTTGGAATGCCAGTAATAGATTTCTAATAAATGGTCTGAAGAGAACGATTTCACATTCTGGTTCTCGTGCACGTCGTATGTTTAGAGCAATGCGAAGTTCCGCGAACGTGTTTACATCCCATCCAGCAAATTTACAAACATGTAGCTCTTTCGGATGAGCGTACGGCTTCCATACATGGTGAATATGGCCTGTAGCTATGCAACTCCACCTTACTTCGCAGGTCTTCCAATTTCTGCAGATTCTAATTCGTCCAACAAATAAGGCGTCTTGCTTCGCACTGATTTGTGTGGTCCACTTTGAGATTGTCATCAGTCTTTGCACATTAAATAAAACCTTAAGGTCGTCAAACTTTCTTAACTGATCTTCAACGTTTTCCCGACATGCTTTCAGACAATGAAAGCATTCCCATCTTTCTTAGGTCAACAAATTCCGAGCTTCGCATGTCTGAACGAATGACTCTTCTCCACACAAGACAAGTTTTGTGACAAAACAAATGAACGTAAAGCCCGCGAGCGATGAAAACAGCCAATAAGTTTTGAGCTGGAACCATTACGTCACTTACCCAACGATCTTTGCTGATTGTCAGATAAAAAAGGGCAGTGCCACATAGCAGTTGATTGCAATTTAAAAGGAGTCAGTTAACTTCAACACGGAGGAAGCTGTTAAACGGAAATTTTTCACTGGGTAGTAAACTTTAATTCACACTCGCCTTTGTACTGGCCTGTCTGCATAGCAACGTGCTCTAAGTTCGTTCTTGTTTGTGTCGTCAACTAGACTTTAATTTCTGATAAATACATGCGAATTGCTATGGAATAACGTCGTGATCTGCGAAGTTGTGGCACAATTAAACTTGGACTACAACCCTGACCGGTAAATTGGCAAATCCTAGAAAGAAGGGTGCATTTTTATTTCAATTCCGAAATGCAATCGATGTATCCAATCGATGTTGATACAATCAAAATGTATCAACAGCTTTGCATCCAAACCCTAGGAATACCAAAACTTAATTAAACATCCTAAATGGACTACTAATCATTCAATGATGAATAAAACAATATCTATTATAAATACCTAACATACCTGATAAAGCTCAGAAATACCATTTTATGTCTCGTATATAAATGTTTACAACTCTTGTCTTGGTGCAAAATATGAGAACTACAACTATGGGAGCTTTTTCTTAGTTCACAAACTTTTTAACAAATTTTTTCAGGCTAACCCTTTGCCTCTGTCAAAAACCTGCTCCTAAATTACAAACAGTACAGGTACTTTTTCTAAAAACAACCTCATAAGGCCACAATATATGCGATATGGAGGTATTGTCAAATAAATAATATAGTTTAAGGCAACCATCTGAAAATGTGGATTATCTAAAAATCCCTCTTGGAATGAGCGCTGACTCTAAGACAACTCAGGGGTTTCTTTTTACTCATTGCCTAAATGGAACTCTTCTCTCAGCTTTAATATACTTTGCAATATTAGGTCTGCCAGCAAAATAATCATAAAATGCCTTAAGCTTTTGGAAATTTTCCAAAACATCTATAGTTGGTGCTTCATCATCGTCAAAGTTAAGTCTCCCAAATTCAACATAAGTATCTAGCAGATCAAACATGACATAGTCTACCCATGTCAGTCGATTGCTAGCAAAGAACAGTCCATCAGCATTGGTGCTGTTGTCTTCATCAGGAGCAAGCTTTTCAAAATATGACAGCCAAGTGTAGACAACTGATTGGATGTGATCATACCTTAACTTGGCCGAGAATTCTGGACTATAAAGCACTGGGCCCAGCTTTGCTCTCAAGTCCTCTGAAAGAAGAGAATTTAAATTATAATTTTTATTTTGAAATGGAAATTGATGATAATTATTGAGAACAATAATAATTTATTATCATTAAGCAGAAATTGGTATCAAAGCCAATTAGTTATAGAGTGAATACTAAAAAAATTACTTCAAGAAGTACACAGTAAATAAAATAAAAAAACTGCAAATTCTCTCTGGCTTTTCTCTGGGGTCAAGCAGAAAGAGTTTAACACACTAAAGTTACTTTCATGATGGTTAATACTACACCTGTTCAACTTTCAAACAATAATTAAATATGATTTAGAATTAATTCTAAAGCACTTTGTAGTTTGAGGTAACTTGGCCTTAGAGTTAACCATATTTTTTTTCACTTTCTAGTGCCATCTCACACACCTCCATAGGTTTGTGAATATAACTAAAATGGCAGTGCAAAGTATCTATCTTGGTTTTCTCTCATTATTCAGATTTAGTTTCCAAAAATCAATACCATTATGCTAAAAAGATCGAAGAATTTAGCATTCAATGGAATTAGGACATTATTTGTGCATTACCTGCACCAAACACTAGGGTTTCACAAATATGAATGTCTGAACAGTCGCAATCAAGACCCACTGACCGGCCAATATGATGCATTATTGCTGAAATATATGAAACAAACATAAACAAGATTAACACTTCTCTTAACTTTCCTTCAAAATAGGTCTTATTCGACCCTTAAACTCCTAGAAGTGATTAACATGTAACTTCTCCCTATAATATTCACACATTCTCCAACAAACAGGTAACGAGAATACTCAAACTTATCAGCTGGTAGAAATTGTTGTCTTGATTTAACACCAAACTTGCGTAAATAATTTTCAAGGAAATGTCTAACAGCTGGAGAGGAGAATTATCAATCAGATCTTGGGAGTTGAAGGTAAACTGTCTCATTATCATCTCAATCTTAAATCAAATTAACTAACTATTTCTTTGGAAGTATTTTCTAACCAAGCCTAAAATACAGTTCCATTGTCAACAGTTTATCTGTAACCATAAATGCATGAGAAATAATGGCTGCAGTCTGAGGCCATAAGATTGAATTTGTTTGCGTAAGGCTTGAGAGCAATGCTAGAATCACTTTAACAATTACAGGACCCCTGAACAGTCAAAAATTTCCCAGGAGAAAAATCACCAGCTAAGGTTGCAAACACAAACCTTTACTCTGAACAAGTTGTAATCCTGTTGTAGTAGTAATAGCTGGAACTGGGAAAAAGAATTTCTGTAAATATTTCATTTTACCTTTGAGTTATTTTAGTATGCTTTTTATTGCAGATGGTCGTCTGATGAAAGTCTTGTATGATGATATGCATTTCACTTTTTATGATGTAAATTGGTTATCCAAGTATACACAAAAATGAAAGTAAATAAAAATAGGAGATATTTCCAAAGAACTCCCAAAAACATTCATTCGAGCAACTCCTAATATTCCAAATTTGGGTCATGAATATTTTACAGATAGTAAACACCTGTTTGATGCCATGGCAAAATGAATTGGTGCAAAATTTGGGCAAAAATGTACGAAAGTAGTTGTAGAAGATAAGAAAAAATATTCTGAAAAATTAACAAACCTTTCCAGCCTATGCAGAACGTTTTTTTTATAATTTTCTTGATTCTTTCGACTTTCACTCCTTTCTCAAAACAATATGTAAATGAAAGATGTACTGTACTGTACGACCACTAGAGGAGGGTCACTAAATTGAGATATTGAGTTGTTGTATCTAAAGCGACTCTTCTCTCTTACCTTGACCAAAAGTGAACAGGCCTGTTTCTATTCCTTTTGCTTTAATTACCGGCCAGTCAGCTTTTGAAAAATTAGTCTCTGAGTATTGTATCTCAGAATCCTCCATTATCAGTCGTAGACCCTCGGCACGTCCTCTAGTTCCAAAATAATGCAGCGTCACATCGCCTATACTCGCAATCGGAGAGCAGCCTCTCTTTCCATGAATAATCTGATTTATCTTGTTAAAAACGAACTGTGCTTTACCACTGTAGAAGATCGCAGCTATTAAAGCAACTAAGGCGAAAGTGAGTTGCAGACTCCATCTTTCCGCCATTTTAGAATAAATTAAAAAGAGCTTGGTCACAGAGTCTTAAAGGCTTGGTTACCCAGTTTGAACAGTCACATGCGCGGCTGCATAGTTAAATAATGACAACATCTTTTTCTTTCTGCCACTTCAGAAAATTTTCGATTTCAGTAAGGTCTGCGGATATTTTTTATCCTCCCTTGAGCGATGTTTTCTTTTGATGGACAGTATAAAAGTAGGAGAGCTGTTTCACTCGGAGGTGCAAGTAAAAAGGTAACTCTCTCGTTAGTTTTATAGTTAGAAGCGCGTTGTAGTATATCATGCAGAAATGTCATTGCTCAGACTTGCAAGCGTATTTATTACCACAAAATTCTAAGTGTGAATTGTGATTGATTCATTCTACTTTGTTGCTTAACTTTCCTATAGACCTCTTCTTTGAAAGATCCCGAATAATCGTCTTTGGTTATATATGGATTGGATCTAGTTAATATTTTAACATGACTGTACATGAACAAAGACATTCTGGACTCACTCAATTTGTGGCTGCTGAACTAGTGCCTGTGTTGCAGTATATGATAAGCTGAAATATAAACTGAATTATAGCTGAATTATTATACACGCATTCTAATTGGTTCCAACTGATGATCAATTCTAGCAAAGGCAGCATCATAATTAACAACATTTTGCCTTTTCATTATAAAACAAATGTATTCTATGTTTCTGGGGGTCTCTTCAGGAATAAATCGCAGGAGACATGACAATGTGGTAAGAACATCTGTGGCACACACAGCTTTTTTTTTTCTTACCATATTTTGACGTCATCCATGATTTCTTACTGAACAGAGGCACAAGAACAGGGAATCTATTTGTTTATCATATAAGGGGCAAAATTACTGAATTGTGATTGGTCAAGACAGAGGGAATTTTTTCTTGATTTTTGTAATTGCCCCGGGAAAAATTACTTGAAAATGATTGGCTGAAAATCGCTTCGCAACGGCTGCCAAGATAAAGAAATTTCTGTTTGTTTTGTAACATGGCGTCCCGTTTTGCACGAGATCAGCAAGAAAACATTTTGCCCCTTATAAAATTATTATAAACAAGTAATCACATGGTTCCTTGTAAAATTAAGGATTAATATCACTGGTGTTTTCGGAAGTTGCAGAAATTGCCCTCGTCGCTGCGCTACTCAGGCAATTTCATCAACTTCCGAAAACACACGTGATATTAATCCTTAATTTTACATGGCCTTATGCGATTACCTATACTAATTTGGGGATTCAATCTTAATAGTTCTATCAACCAAGCCATAATTTGAGCATCAGTACTGCTAGTAAGATATAATTTTAACAGTTGGTAGATAAATTCTTATCAGCTTTACTATTATTTGTTAAACACTTAGGAAGAAAGGTCCTCTTTAATTCAAAGAACTCAAGCAGAAAGACAGAAAAGAGAGGTAAAGTATGAGGCTATTTGGTTTATATTTTTCTAAGCTTATTGACGTGCAGTATCCGGAGCAAGAGATTTAGAGAAAAATTGTATTTCTGTCTTTTGAATCCTAGGATCTGCGTCGAAAAACTGCAAGTGCTATCATAATTCAGTCTTTTCTCCGTGGAGAGAGGGTGCGACATCAGCAGGTAAGGCAGCTTTTAATCAGAAGTTTGTTTGATTAGTAAACTTTGACTATATGAGTTTTAATTAAAGCAGGGTCTCAAGGATCTTAAAAGAATGTTATCTTCTGTGCTCAAGTAGAAGTATGATTGACTGTGATGCCTGTTTTTTTTTTCCCACTTTTCTTATTCAGTATGAGCTTCAAAGAATTTCATATGACAAGGCTGTCAGCTCAATACAAGGTTCAAAAGATACTCCAACAGCAGATGCCATTAGAAATTTGCTAAGAAAGCTTCTTTTCTTTCATTCTGACTCCAAGGACACACAGAGACTGGTAAAAAAAATTGATGCATTTAACTCAATTTGTTACAATTATAATAATGAATTGCAGAAGATCTAGACACATTGATACCATTATCATAATAATATAGCCATGTTGCAGAAATCTGAATTAACCCTTTAGCTCTCATGAATGACCAGGAAAGAATTTCTCCACAACACCATTTCAATATCTAGTAGACAAGTGATGAGAATAAAGAAAAATGTAGATTAGGAAATTATTAGTTTATCAATACCAAATTCTCACAACCAATGTCTCTCTGGGGGGAGCAGGGTTGGCGTAGTGGTGAGAGTGCTCGCCTTCCACCAATGTGTCCCGGTTCAATGTTCAATTCCCGGACCTGGCGTCATAAGTGGATTGAGTTTGTTGGTTCTCTACTCTGCTCCAAGAGGTTTTTCTCTGGCTACTCCGGTTTTCCCCTCTCCTCAAAAACCATAATCATTTGAATTTACTTAATTTAGAGTTTATTTGCATTATTTTACACACGACTCCACAAGCTGTTCAGCTTTAAACATTATCGTGTCTAAATAAAGGTATTATTATTGTTACTATTATTATTATAATTGTTTAAAAACTGTATTGGAAACATTAAGGAGAATTACTTTTATTAGATACTGATGAAATACCAGGATTTTTCCTTTTACTAAAAAATCATATCTTCACCGCACGCAGTGAAGATACTACTTTTATTCTTCACGTGTGAGGATATTGGTGTGACCATGGTTACCAACATAATTACCCAATTGCTGTTTCGAAAATGAATAAAAAAAGTTGTCTTTTATGTAGAAATTTCATCAGTATCTATATAATAAACAGAACATTACATGGCCGCGCGGGGATACGAATTTTATCTTCTTGTGTTGAAAGTATCTCTCATGAGTGAAGGCAGCGAACGAGTGAGAGTTACTTTCAGCAATCGAAGATAAAATTTGTATCCCCATGCGGCCATGTAATATCCTTTATATGATATTTTGCAAGTGTTAGGTAAAACTCACTATTGATAAGGACTGTAATTAATTTTTGTTTTTTTTTTTTCTTTTAGATTTGGATATGCCAGTTTTTGTTAAAGAATGGAACCACTGTGCGACAGTTACAAACAAATGATCATCAGATTTGGCTTCATCAGATCAAATGCCTTCTCTTGATATGCAGCAGGTAAATTACAATGCTCATATATTGTGCTGTACATGTTATAAATTGAAGCTTCAAAAGCAGCTTGCAACCTACTGTAGTTTATAATCTGACCTATACCTTGGAACATAAAAGATAGTAGGAAGCAACGAATACGCTGGTTGTTATTGAGCCATAATGAGTGGTCTTAATCATTGAGATTGTAACATTAGGAAATATATGGACTTTCTTAATATTAGTCTTACTTCATTTCTACTATAAACCTAAGGTAAAGTCTGTTTACGAGCCTAGTGGCCCATTAGGCCAGTGCTTAACTCCGGTTTCTTTAGCATGAGGCAACTAGGAGTATTTCTACTCCCCCCCAGGATGGGATGCTAGTCCGTTGCAGGGTTACCCCCAGCATTAAATTGCTGGTGTCTTGCCTAAGAACACAGCACAATGTCCCGGCTGGGGTACGAACCCGGACCACTCGAGCACACTAACCATGAGGCCACCACGCCTCCACGCTATAAACCTAAGTATTACCTTTAATATTTGAATTTCCTGTCTGCTTTAGTCAGCTTAGGCTTCTGCTCCTTAAAAGGCAGGCACAATTTTAATTAATCTATTTTTCAATATTCTAACAGCATTGAGTGACATTAAGACTGTAATCACTTTTCTGTAGAGGCTAATTAATGTTTTTTTTACCACTAATTAAAATTATAGTATCTGTACTGCAGAGAACATTAAGAGAAAGGATAAATGTTATCTCCACAGATTACTAGAGACATCAATGAAAGATTCTAAACCTGTTGCTATTCAGCTGCGTATGTTAGAAGTGTTTACGTCGCATGATTCTTACCACAATCCTACTGATCCTACCAGAAGTAGAAAAGATGCTGCAATGGTGACAGTTTACCTTGTTAGAAATGGTAACTAATCCTAACTGAGAAGTGCATATTATGTAGGATTTTTTTCTCCGACTGTGCACTGTGGGTTTTTTGCATGATAATGTCAACTTTACAATAATTATGAACTCAAAAATGATCTTTCATACTTCCAGGCATGTGACCCCTTTTAGATGTTGGTCTTTTTTTCCCACCATCTTGCATGTACCTGTTTAATTCCATGGTCAGATAGAGTTTACTTATGATTAAATAACTTGCTTAAACCTTTTACTTCCAAGATATCATTATAGACAATTTCTCCTTACTGTTTGTCATACAGTTCTTATGATTTCAGTTTAGAGAACTTGATATTGGTCAGGATTAACTAATAAGTCCCTAACTGATATTTTCTCTGATATTGTCACTTGTCTGCTTGATTTTGTATCATTATTACACGACTCGGGCAGTCAGAGGGCCAAAAACTAAATTCAACCAATCAAATGCTCCATTGCCCGTCCAATATTTTCTAAGTATTGGACTGGGCACTGTCCCGAATGGTCCCGAATGATACCTCACTTGTGTCCCTTCGAACTTCAGTGGTATAATAAATCTCTCATTAACCAAGCTTGCTCGGGACCATACTGGAAGAATATCGGCCCTCGGTCTTTTTTGTACAGACCTCACTACGCTCGGTCTGTACTGTCAAGACCTCAGGCCGATATTCTCCCAGTACAGCCCTCGTGCTTGGTTAATAAGATATACATATTGTTAGGAGAAATTAGATGTATGTCTTGATCACTCATGCGAGGGAAAGGGTTGATGTTATTAAACAATTTTCTTTGTGAATGTTAGTGTTAGTATATTTAACAATAATTATTCACCAAAGGCGAGGTGAATATCATTGAATAATCCCCTCAACTTCATCTCGGGGATTATTCGACAATATTCACCGAACCTGAGGCGAATAATTGTAACAGTTTTAGTATAATTTCAGAGTTGAACAACAGAGAAATTTCTAAACTCGTAACATTTTTAATTAAACAACAAACATATGAAATACATATATATGAGGTCAGAGGTCAGTGGTTCGAATCCCGTACTGGCCTGAATTTTTTTCAGGTCTGATTTTCACTATTGCTTAAATAGTGCTTTACTGCGAAGGATCGTGCACATATACGAAACATTTTTAATTAGTAACATTTACTAACATTTTATTTTAGCATTTTATTTTAACATTTTACATAAACCATGTAGAGCAGTTTATATAGCGTCATATATAAGGAACCGCTCAACCAATCAGATTGCTGGAAACTCTTTGCTCAGCTCTGAAATTATACTAAATGTAAATACATGTAGGTAATTTTGTATGCATAACTTCATTAATTTATTTTGTCAGTTGTAGATCCTTTCTCAAAAATTATTACATTTCTTGCATCCTATTACCAGGATATTTTAGATATTTGCGTATCCTGCTGAATGCTAGAGTTCCATCCAGCCTAGAGCCATCTACCGTCCCCCCTACTCAAATGGCTGCTGCCATCAGAGACTTAGTGCTGAGCCCTCTTCACTTCAGCAGCCAATCCAGTCATGGAGAAGAATCAATGTTTACTGCAAATGATAGGTACATTGTATTTTCCTTCCTTTTTGTACTCTTTCCCTCTTCTTCCCATCACTAATTCAGCACTACTTGGCTTCTTTAATATCAAATTTTCCCAAATAAATGCTTCTAAAGAATCAATAGTGAGCATAGAGAAAATTTTTAAATTTGTTGATGGTTAAAACCATGTACCCCTTAGGTTGACTAGCATCTAATTTCTCCTAACAATATCAACCATGAATCAAACATTATGGTCACAAGAATAAAGAAAATGATCATCCACTCCACTATAGAAGCTCTGGATTGTTAAACAAGTTCTCCTTGTTAGCACCTCATGAAATATATATTACAAATGTTTGATTCATGGTTGATATTGTTAGGAGAAATTAGATGCTAATCACCCTAAGGGGTATAATTGTGGTTTTAACCATTATCAAATTTAAAAATTTTCTCTATGCTCACTACTAATTCTCAGCATTTATTTCAATTGGGAAAATGTGGAAGTGAAATGGTTTCAAAAAAATAATGCCAAGAAAATTTTATTAAGTTTCAACACAGATCTTTTTAGTTATCCCAAAACTCAGATATTTCTGTCAGTAACAGCTGTGATTCATTTTTTTTCCTTAGGTTTCATGTAAAACTGTTTAAACTTAGTTGATTTTCATAATTATTTTTTTGTAGATTATGGTATAATATATATGAGAGAAAAAAAGCCTTTTTTGAAACAAAATTGAATTTCTTTGACACAAACATGAAATGAACCAATATAATTATGTTTAATATCTCAAGGAATGAAAACAGCCAAAATGAAGTTTATCAATTTTTATTTTTCCCCCCAGGCATGTAGTACTTTCAGCACTCATTTCTGACATCTTCTGTCCTGAAATGACAGAGCAGATCATGTGCTTTTTGCTACCTTCAATGGCTGACCAATCTGCAAGATTTCCTTTTAGTCAATTGTTAGAGACTCTCCTGAAATTATTAACAAAGGCTGATGAATCAGGGGGGACCAACACCAAGATCACCCCCACACCCTGGCTGCTGTATGGAGTCTTAGCATTTGTTGATAACCATTTAGGTATGTATACCTGTGTACTGTGTTCTATAGTAATTCTGCATTTATTTATTTCAACAATTATCTGTTATGTTTTCAGGGTCATCTTCAGATCTTTCTGTAGTTAAATGCTACATTCAAGTCCTTCAGATCCTTTTAGTACAGCTCCCTCATCCAGGTAAACAACTTTAAATACAACATTTGCACAATGACACCAACTGATTACATGTACATGCATGTACCAATTGAAACTTCATTTGATACTATTCCTTTTAGATTTAAATTTGGTAATCC